TGCTTTCATTTTCTATGTTTGATCTTCTATTGTGGCCCCTCCCTACCCCCAGGGGACATGATTTGAACGAATTTGAATATACTTCAGTCTATGCGAAAGTTTTTTGAACCACACAGGACATTCGGTCCTGTGTAATCAATGAACACACGGGACCGAACCAAATTTTGTCAGACCGAAAAACCTAATGTAAAAAAGTGAAATACGTGAAAATGCAGAACCAAGGAAATCTTACTACTGTAGATGGTCCATGCGGTTTTAATCAATTCATTTACGTATTTGAATTTGTCCGATATTATTTTTACTTATAACAAACATTTGAATGACTCCATGTTAAAATGGTAAAGCTCAAAACTGGACGCTGAGACATCGGACATTCTGGTCCGGTGTAAAAAATGACGCATCGGACCAGAGGCACTGCACATCGGTCAGGTCCGACGGTCCGATCTCTTTCGCATAGACTGATACTTACCTGAGGATGCTTCTGAATTAATATGGCTAATCAGGGATTTGCAAATTCTTTGGAAGAAGATTTTTAATGATTTCTCCTATGTATTCTCATTTTAAACTAATTGATCACTAATTATGGCCCCTCCCTACCCCTGGGGTCATGATTTGAACAACCTTGAATGTAAACTATCCAGGATACTTCCATATAAATATGTCTAATTACTGCTTAACTGTTCTTGAGAAGAAGATTTTTCATATGTATGCCTATACGTAAAAAATTGATCACCTGTTTAGGCCCTCCTAACCCCCAGGGGTAATGATTTGAACAAACTTGAATTTATACTACCTGACAATGCTTCCATATAAATATGACCAATCATGGCTTTGCTGTTCTTGAGAAGGAGATTTTTAAAGATTTTTTTTCTATATATTTCTATGTAAAAATTTGTTCACTCATTGTGACCCCACCCTGGGGGTCATGGTTTGAACAAACTTGAATCTACACTACCTAAGGATGCTTCTATATAAAAATCACCAATCATGGCTTTACTGTTCCTGAAAAGAAGAAATTTTAAAGATTTTTCATATGTTTTCCTATGTAAAACTTTGATTGCCCTCTGTGGGCCCACCCTATCCCAAGGGGTCATGATTTGAACAAACTTGAATCTACATTATGTCAAAAAGCTTTCACATAAGTTTCATCTTTCTGACCCAGTAGTTCTTGAGAAGAAGATTTTTAAATTGACCCACACCCAATTTTACTATTTCTTAGTTATCTCCTTGGAAAGAGTGTATGGCCCTTCATTTGAACAAATTTGAAACCCCTTTACCAAAGGATACTCTGTATTAAGTTTGGTTGAAATTGGCCCAGTGGTTCTGGAGAAGAAGATGAAAATGTGAAAAGTTTATGACGACAATGGACAAATTTTGATCAGAGAAGCTCACTTGAGCCTTTGGCTCAGGTGAGCTTAAAACCAATCACGGAAAAGCAGCATAGAGTAGACTAGTCGCAGAAAAGCAGACAGGTTGCGAAAATAAAATGGGGGGAAAAGTATGTCCCCACATAATCATATATAACAACATTATTTCTATATATATTGATGGATACCTTTGCAATAAATATTTCATTCTAGATTTTTTTTACCTGTTTGCATGTAACATATATATAATCTTTGAGAAGCTATCAGTGTGGTATAGTGGGGGACCATCTGCTCATTTTCTAGCAAATACCTGCAAGTTAAGAATACAACATTTTAGTAAATATTTCTCAAACATGTCATTAGTAAACACAAAATAGAATATACAGTACAACTCATTTACAGGGAAGTTACTCGGACTTGCTTTCTTATAACTAAGCTTCTTTATATATCTGCATGTATTTTGGAATGCATAAAAGTTTAACTCCTAAAACAACTGAGATTTACCTATTTTTATGAGAACTGAGTTCTGTTGTATTTTCAATTAGAAATGTATAAATATGTTTACAGTGGCATTAGTGCTCCTAAATAAATACTTTTTATCTCTAGCTCAATCAGAAACCAATTGATTTATTAGCTATATTACATTACTGCTTTTATTAATATTGCAAACAGAGAGTCAAACTTCAAACTCGATAAATTATAAACATTTTTTATATCTATCCCCATTTATAATTAACCTCCTAGTGTTTTTAAAACACTGAATTTATCACAGCACACCCCAATGCCTGCCCTGGTGGCAAAAAGATCAAAGAAAACATTATTCTTTTCACTCTTTAAGTCTTGACCTTTTGGTTAAGTGATTATAGTGGATTGTACCACATAGGAAGAAAAAAAAGACCCCACAAAGGGACACAACTCATTTACTATTTGCAAACTAGACATGAACTACAATGTATCTAAACAGATGTGCCCCCACTGTGCATGTCATTAGTACATTGTAGTAATTATATAACTATCATGGTTCTATATATATAGAGAGAGTAACCTTTTGTGATTATACATGTACATTTACAAATAAATGTTTTGATTGATGGTGATGGGTGAATGTGAGGTGTAAAGGACAGTTTGGAGAGGAAGAAATAGGGAAGGTCGGAGTCAGACAGAGGAAGATAAAGGAAATTCAAAATAGTAGAGTTGAAGGGATGGGAGCTAGGAAAAAGATAAATTAAAGACCCACCCCACTTTTTTCCAGGCCACCCTTCCATTATGTATCTAGATCTATTTTTAGAACAAAATGATTGACTTACAGTCTGATTAAAAAAAAAAAATAGGTATATCCTAATAGATTCTATACATGTATAACTTTACAATGCTGTATATTGCTTGGTGAGGTTTACACCAGACCCAGGTGCAACAGGCAAAGAGTGGCTGTGCCAGGTCCATCTTATTTCAACATATCTATTTATTAAGCTGTCAGCATACATGTATATTGCCAATAAATTATAATACATTCATCTGGTGATAAAGGAGATGATAAAAATATGACAAACTTACAGAAAATATGCAGTTGAATTTACTCTGCTCTTTCTTGTCTGCTTTCTCAGTCGCAACATGACGTAATATGTGACGTACGGCATTCCATAAAAAAACTACTTTTGGTTTCGTAAAATAAGTGTATACCCAGTAGTCATCAAAGTTCCGACTTCGACGCGGAAATAAATTTTCAAAATAAAGATTTAAAGGACAAAAATTATAGTTATTTAGATATTTCCTGATTCTGTGATGAATACGCAATAGACTGGCAGATTTAGCCAGGTTCTACTTGCACTTCCTGTTACAGAAAAAAAAAAACACGAGTGTACCCTCCTGTGGCTTGTTCCAGAGTTTCCTTTGGGATTTATGCGCTCTAATCCCTTGAAACGATGGTGAATATGTATGTACTGTTAATTGTTTGTCATATTTTGCGTTTAAAATGTAGATTCTTATTGTTATTCATTTTGCAACGAAAATTTTCAGAGTAAATTCGGATCTCGTTTCGTTATATGTCTCTGGTTTCAGGTTCAACAGTTCAATGTAACACGGCCAGGTGAATCGAATGGTTCCGTTTCATCGAAGTCATAATGAAGTTATGCATTTTTTATGCTAAGCGACATTTATTTGAAGGCTTTACTAAATTTTGAGTAAGTAATTAACTTTAAAAGTGATTTTTAATTGTGTATATTGTTCTGACACATGTGCAGAGACTTGTAAAAACGACTTTTACAGTGTATCACACAAAATATTTTAGGACGCAGGTCTCACAAAAGATCCAATTTTCTTGGGGATTAATCTCACAAATGTGAGGGTTATGAATGAAAAAAATTCCTTGTAATAATTAAGCTGTTGCATTTGATATATTCTAATTATTTTATGCAGATTAAAAAAAATCCATCTTTTCAGCATTATAATGTCTGTAAAACTCACAAATCTAATTGGAATATCATAACTAAAATGGACTATTATATCTAATTTGGACAATAGGTTCCAATAACAACCTTATACAGTGTTTTCCCTTTATTTCAAAGTAAAGCATTAGAGATCAATTGTATATGGCTTTGGGTTGATGTTTATGACAAATCTCTGTGGACCTTACAACAATTAAATTTTATTTTATTTTATTTTTTTTAAAGCGGCATTTTTATCAATTGAAGCGATTAATTTGGCCGGTAGCTGGTTCTTAGGGAAATCACTACTTATATATAGAGTTGCATGGTCAATAACATGTTCTGATATCTGACATATGCCTCTATTGTGCAGTTATTAATGTAAAAAACACAGGGTCTTCTGTTTTGCTCAAAACATGAAATACCAGTGCAGTTTAACATAAACAAGTTGACAAAACATGGACCTTTCAGGTGATAACATGGAATTTATTGTATGTAATGACAGATCCTATTCAGTAATTATAGGAGTTAGCCCCTTTGACTGAAACAATTGGAATATCAGTATGGGTAGTAATATAATAAAAATTTTTATGATTTAATTTCTTTGTAGGAAATGCTTGTCAGGACAAAAGACTGAAAAAGACTGAAAAACTGCCTTTAAACACAGCCATCATTAATGTAAATGGATTCATAAGGAGCATCCAAACAATGTGATATTAGGATCATCAGAGACTGGCAATTTTTACCACTCACTGTGATAGATGCATCTAAATAAACATTGAAATGTTAAATTTTTTTGTTCATTGCTTTTCCTCATATGGTATTAATATTGCGTAATATTCTTGTGAATATCGCACGATTTTCACACGAAAAACAGACAAAGTGGAATTCGCATGGATATCATGCGAAATTTTAGTCGCATGAAAATCGCATGAATTTCGCATGAAATTTGTGTGATAACATTCGCATGAAATTCGCATGTGGGACTTTTCGCATGATTTTTGTATGATTTTCGCATAAATTTCATGCGAAAAGGCAAACGCATGAAAATCATGCGAGCCACTTTTCCCTGTGTTATAAAGCAAATTTCGTCGGGACCGCGGCCTTACTTCGACATATCCGGGGTACTCGAGATATCCGTGTTCGAGATTTCGAAGTTTAGCTGTATTTATATTTCATATGTCCGTAACATAAGACAAGGTCCTCTTACCATAGCTGCCTCTTTTACAAGCTGCTGATCTTGATGGTCGTCCCCTCCAACTGGTGGACTGTTCATCATCTGACTGTTTTCTTCCTCTCCCTTTTTTCCTTTTCTTTGGTTTCATATTTTCATCCTCTGAAGACTGCCTCCTTTGTCTGGCTTTCTTTGGCTTTATTTCTTCCTCTGATTCCTCACTTTCCTCCTCCTCTTCCTCACTAGATTCAGCATATTTTGACTTCTTTCCAACCCTAAATTTAAATTCAAAAAGACATCTTATTGCACAGTATGAATGTATATTTAATTTTACATGTATTGATACATGAAAATGAAGCAATGCACTTATCTGCTACCATGCAATGAAATTTAACTCATTCTTATACATTTTTTGTACACATACATTAACTTCATTGTACTAATAATACGGATTAATCTATCTTGAAAGGGACGCTACCTTTTCTGAGATACAGTACTTTGAAAATTAGTTTAGGATTCAATGGGCTGTGATCATTTGGAAGAAGCAAGTCAGCCCCTTCCTATGGGACAAGGGGAATGAATTTCAATACGACAGTAAGTTTGTAGAAGAAAATGGGCTAATTTAGCATTTCTTCCTTTAAAATCAGAAGAATTATTATATTTACTAAGTGATAACAAATTACATGTATAAACTCCATTTCAATTGTAACAAATTTTTTCTACACATAGTATGCTATGATTCTCTTTCATTTGCATGTATTCACTAAAAAAAAAAAGCTGAGACTCGGTGTCAGTTTCCTGGCTATCATAAAGATCATTTCACTGTTTACTTTCTTCACAGTTAAATTTGTCAAACCTTTTTGCATTTTCCGTTTTGGCAGAATTCCCCCTACGACCTTTGCCCTTTGGTTTGACCTCCTCTTCCGATTCTTCTTCCATCCAGTCATCCTCTGATTCTGCCTTCTTCTTCTTTACTGGTGCTAAAAACATTTTATAACATTTCAAAGTGTAAAAAATTTGCTTTTACAAAAGCCTGGATGTAACCCAGGCCCCATTCCAAAATAGAATGGAAAATCTCAGAGGTCACCAAAACCTATTTTTTTGGTTAGGACACATTTTCTCCCCAAATGCATCAACTGTCAAGGTTTGATAATTTTTCATCTCACACTGTGCAAGATAGGTTCAAATGTGATCTGACCATATAAAGTCATGAATTTCCAAACACATTCTTCATCTCACACTGTGCAAGATAGGTTCAAATGTGATCTGACCATATAAAGTCATGAATTTCCAAACACATGTACCACCTCTACCTACGTCTGGTTTTTGATACATCTTCCCCACAAGATTCGTTAACATAAGGTTAGATGGTCATGCAGCTCATACAGCATGTGAAAAGATAGGAATATAAAATCTGCATTGAGTTTAGAGCAACTATGATTGTAGTGTTTTTTTTTTCTTTTTTACAAATAATTGTTCTGACTGTTGGTTTTCTTACCAGTTCGTTTACTGGAGGGTTTATTGCTGCTCTTGGGGACTGAATCTCTGGCCATTTCTATCATCCAGGATGGAAGAACTCTTCTTTTTTCTGACATTGAACTTTCTTCTTCTTTTTCCTCTGATTTCACTTTTGATGGCTTTTTTGACTTGAATAGAATATATCTACTAATTTTGATAATTGTCCTATATCACAAGATAAATAAGATCAAAGATTTTTTTTTATATTCCACCAATCAAAATGAATATGGACTTACCTGTTTTGAATTATCTTCACCTAAAAAAATATATGATTTTTTTTCAATTATTAATTATTCAAAGATGAACTGTTATACAGCAGTTAACATCATAAAAAGGGATTTTGTACATAGTAGGCTTCATTAGGATTGAGTTGTTTTGTTACGCAAAGCCAAAAAATAATGATTGTGTTGACCTGTCAATAAATTCTAACTAAACTTAGTAAAGGACCTTTTATTTCACAATAATAAAAGTAAATATTGTGTGCTGTCCATTATTGTTTTTTTTAAACATAAAGTTAGGCTTTATAAATTACTCCATGTATGCTTTACATATAAATACACCACTTAATGCCTGTGGGCTACAATGCTCACCTGGCACTAGTAGACAAATTAAACAGACAATTTTAAAATTTGTTATTCCAATAGACATTACATTTTATTAGGATGGGATGTTCATACACTCAGGTGATTAACAAATATATTTAAACATAAATAATTTTATATCAACTGTATAAAGGCTTTTCCATTTTGTCTTATTCTGAAGGATAGATAAAGATGATTTCATTATTCCTTACTGTTGAATGAAAAAAGTCTATGCATTTTTCAACTACAATACAATATCATTATGAAGTAAAACAATGTCCTAAAAGTTAGTTTGGAATCATTAAATTTTTTAAACACTAATTTCTGTTGTTTTCTTGGTGGAGTAAGGCCATGATATTAAATGAACAACTAACTTTAAACTTTACTTATTATAGAATAGGATGAAGTTACTGTCCACAAATTTGCATATAAACAAATGCATTTTTTGCAGTAATAAAGCAATTTAAAAAAGTGCTTACCATTCTGTTTAGATGTTTCTTTAGATGTATCTTTTTCCTCACTAAAATCAATTACATGTATCATATAAATCTAAATAATACATCTTTCATTTTTATCCATACATGACTAATAATGATTTCTAGAAAGAAACATATGAAGATTCTGGCCTGCAATATAATAATGGAACTATCTCTCATATTAAGCCCAACAATAATTTATTATAGAAAATGAAATGCTGGGAATGTTAAAAGTACTTTGAAATCCTCTCCATAAATATTTTTGTGTATTTGAATAGGAATTGATAAAAAGATTACCTAAAACTAAACCATAACATTTGAAAAACTGTGGAGCACTTAACTCAGTGTAGTTCTACATATTTTACACACATACAAACAAATGGACAATGGGACTCTAATATACACCCTGTAAAAGTTTCTTGCAGGGAATGAAAAGATGATAAAATAATTTTGACTTTCACACTGACTTTGGTGTTATTTGTCTGTAATATTTGAATGATATCAAGAATTCACCTCTTCATTGTTCCATTAGGAACATCATACATGACTGTAAAATATAACTTATCCCTCAGTAAGCCAAATATTTCTCCATCTTCCATCAGTTTTTTCTGATCCTTAGTCATAGGAGTCATCCCTCCATCCTTCTTGAGGAAACAGGGGTTACTGTGTGTCTGGTGTACAAAGAAGAACAAGACTTATAGGTCAATCATTAGAGCAAGACTTTATAGGTCAATCATTTTACTCAGATCAGGCTTTTCAAAATCTGCCAGTACCCTGTACTTTTACCCAGTTGAAATCATAATTGTACTGGCCAATATACAATGTATTTAATGGAGAAAAATTTGATAACATATTTAATAAAAATAGCTTCCACAAGGTACCTCCTATTTTTGTAAAAGTATCAAAAAGCCTTTTTTCTTTTTGAAAGCCCCGCCATATACATACAATAATAGACAATATTGATCAGTAAGGCCCATGTATTGTAAATACCAAAAGATTATTTTTTTAGCAATAGTCATATCAAAAGTACATATAATAATTTTTTCTTGTATTCACCAGATTAGGAATGCTGCTGAAATATATTTATTATGCAACTAAATACTTACAGGTGTTAGATACAGTTTTCCATCATCCACCTCTAGTATACCATGATTTCTTGAAACTCTTTTATCTACAACCTTAATAAAAAATAAAAATTTTGCTTTAATAACTTAATACATACATAACCTCCCTCATGACTAGAGAGGTAGTGAGAACAGTGACATTGTGGGTTTTAAGGCATAAAGAAATTTTTAAAATTCTGCATATTGATTTAGAAATTTCAATAACAAAGTTTCTCAAGTTCTGATAACACTGCATGTGCTAACACAAAAACAAAGTAAAGGTAATGAAATTTACACCTTGTAGGTTTTTATCATATCACAACCTTTGTTTTTTGCTCAGTCATGTCAAAGTAAAGTATCTATTTTTACCAAATCAGTGAAGAGTTATTATCACCTAACTAAAGTTTCAACTTTCATTTTTGTACAGTTGTCCTGGATCACTGTTCTATTTTGCTACATTGCAACTAAACAAAATTGCTAATGCATATTATACTTTTCAAAACTTGTTTTTATGATATATTTGATATATAAATATGTTCCCACAGCAAAAAAATGAGGCAATTAACGAGGCCAAGTCTAATTCGAGTGCGCATGACTTTGCGTAGCTTTTTAGTTTCATGCATTCGTAGGTGCAACATAACACTTATCCTAAGTATTGTAATTTTAATACAAAATTAACATTAAATTACGTCATCTGGGATGTTTATGGGTCTTAAAATGTGATTTTAAGACAATGATTAGGAATAAACGCTGAAAGGTCTTTCACGACATCATTGTTTTCCGGTTCTCTAAGCAATGCATGGACATTTTATTAAAAACTGTTGACAGAACATCAAAAGAAACATACCCTGTACCAGCAATCTAAACATTGTAATTTTTTACCGAGATAATTTATCTGTGCCATTATATATAAAATGTATGCCCCAACATGGCAAATTTAGAGACATTGGGCATTGGGGAAAAAATAAACTTTTTAATAATTCCTAGACCAAACTAGATGGTCAATTTTTTTGAAATTTCACGATTTGGTGACATTTTACAATAACTTTCATGTATTTGACTGAAAAGGAAATCCCTCGGGCAGAAATACAAAAAAACATGGGAAAAATGTGATAATTTGGTGCTTTTCCAACAAATTCCCATAGGGTTCAATAGTAAAATTTGACAACTTTTGAGATGGCCCCCTAAGAAATTGGGATGGTAAACATTTGATTTTTTTATCTTAAAATAATTAATATAATAGTAAAAATTCATTCAAGAAAATTTATCAAAATATCTAGGGTAGAAATAATTAGACTTGGGCTCGTTAAATGTCTAAATCGATAAAATACAATGTTAACTGAAGCTTAACCATTTCGTAGAAAAAAAATTGTGCTCACACTTTTTGGAGTAATAAATTTCTCATTTTGTCTTTGTGTTCTTTTATGTTTTACTAATTAAAAACTCAGAAAAAAATTGCACCCTACGCAGGGTTTGATCCTAGAAGTACATTTTAAAGCAGTCAGTATGGTGTCTGCAGGGTGTTCCTCTGAAGAAACGTACATGTTAAGAATTAAAACAATTAAAAGATTATTCTTTCCTCTATTGAAAAATTGTTGCAAATAGATTATCAAACATTAAAATGTTTTCCATAGATAGCCATGGCATTAAGTAGTCACTACACCACAATTTAAAGATTTTTCTGCAAAATTTGAGCAACCGGAAGTTGGGTGGTCAGGGTACAGAAACTAAGGCACTGGAAGACTTCAAGCAATATGATAGTCAATTGCTGTATATTATTTGATTTTTAAATGGTAGACTGCTTCAACCTCACTGACCATCATTGGTAATCACCAACTTCATATTTTATTTGGACTAAAACGGTGCGCAATGCTGTCGGAAAATTGGTTTAGGGGCAAAAAGGACATTTAAGGGTCTTGTCATGACACCAAGACATTTGTCAATCCCACTGTGTTGGGAAAGATGGCATATCAGATATACTAGTTCTGATTAGGCAAATGTTCAATTAGCAAACGAGAACAATAGTGAGTGCAGTTAGTGGCATGAAGCGCCGCTCGTCACTGCGAGGTCTAAAAGCAGCACCTGGGCTAAGAGAAAATTGTGACTTTTGATTTTTTTTTATGCAGTTACCTCGAGACCCACAATGCAACGCTAACATATCGTTCTCGCAGTAACAACTAAAAATTCACAAAAAATAAACTCACTTTCATTTAATGGATATTACATACAGATAGTAGATTTAACATTCTTTGCTAAAATTTTGCACTTTTCAAGCTTCGTTAATGGAAGTGCAGCTAACATGTAACATAGGACGTCATGTGACGTCAGAGTCTATATGTTCCAAATGTCTCTTGCGTTTTGAAGAGGCAGATCTTAAAATTAATTATGTGAACAACTGCGCTCGCCCCAACGGTCGCACCATCAACATATTAAGCAGTACATTAGAAATTTTGTCTAGTGTATATGGAACATACTCTTACTGCAGTTAGGAATTAATTGTCCCAAGACAAAGCTTTATTCTATAACTAGCACCCAAGTAATTTCAATAAATGCTAAATACAGAACGTACATTCAGGAATGCACCACGACCGATGACAGTCTTCCCAGTGGGGACATTTATCAAATCTCCTTCTTCTGGTTTAAGCTTTATAGAAGGCATTGCCATTAAAGATTGTACTACGATGCTAATTCCGATATGTGATAAAATGAAGAGATTAAGGAGAAAAGTTATTGTTTATAATATGTTCATTTGTGTCTTGTGAACAAAAGGATAAAAACAACAGATCTTAACAAAAATGCATCTGTGCAAAATATGCACAAATATTATAACCGTAAAATCATGACGCTATTTTCTTCCAAATGCATTGTCTTTTCTATCTTCAAAGACATGAGAGTGCAATTGTTTTGCATACCGATCCCGATCCAATAAATGCGGAAAATCACAAGCCAAGAGAGAGTGCGCTGTCTCATACTTTCCCATACCTGGTAGTTTTTGGGTCTGAGAATTTCTGCAGTATTTACACATGTAACATTATATGAATTATCTTTAACTACAACCAAATCTTGAAGAAGACAGGACTTTTTTGCTTATTAGCCTAGTCTGCAATGAAACTAATCACATTCTTCTTGTAACAAGAAATTTATAAACTGTGATCATGAGGAACATAATGTAGTAGTCATGATTTAAATTGATTTTAATTATAACAACAATTTTCTTTCAGATGCCATTGAAAGTTATGAAATAACTTTCAATAATAAACTTGATTTAAAATAAAAATGTTTTATTTAAATATTAAACAGTTAAATAAATTTATAACAACTACCTCTAATTAAAGTCTAGAAATCTCTAGAGTTCTAAAATTACAGTTTAACTCTTAACCTTGAATAAATAAATAAGTAAAAATTGCCATTGGTTAATATTTTCCCGCCAAAACCTTTAACCCCCTTTGTCTAGAGTGTCCAGATAATTACTAGCCTAGGAGCAGTCAGTGTGTAAAGTTGTATTTTTGATATTTGGAGTATTTTATAGACCACTGACAGTAAGTTGACTTTTTGACATTCTTATTTCACATTAATACTTTCATATTAATAATTGTAAGAATGAAAAGTGGCATATGAGAGAATTTATCAAATTATTTAAGTTTATCAAAGCTGATGAACTAGTTGATTTTAAACTTTGCAATGAAATGTATTTTATGACACAAAAGAGTGTATAAATGTTATTTATGAATTGTAGATATTAAATCCATAGTAAGACAATACACTGTATTAGAAATAGAGATGGATTCATACCCATAGTTTGGTATGTAGCTATATGTACATGTATATTGTATATTGTACATGTATATTGTAAATATTTATCCACTATATGAAGTGAATATATAACAAGAAATATCATTTGTCAAGAGATATAACTCATTGACCTGTGTCAATATTTATTATTTTATTATCTAATTAATATGTAGTAATTATCTGATTTTATGATAACAATAGATTCTGCTGTTATGTGTGATATCAAATTTAGTTAATGTATTTTATATTGTTTTGCAGAATCTGGTACTAGTATATAATCCATGTAATAAACATTACACTGATTTCAAAACCATCTTGTCTTGATTGCTGCTCCGCTACAATAATACGCTTTTCATTTCAAGTAATTGAGACAAGTCCTTTAAACACTGTTAAAGAGGGCAGTTATGATCTTTCATGCAGTGTATTTGTAATCGTTATAAATAAAATTGAATATTCTCTAAACTGAATTTTCTTTATTGTGTATTTTGTTCACTACAAAAATACCAGGTCAAGAGACAATAACTGAAGTTTGAAATAATAAAACTTTTTTATCTGTTTAACTATGATATACTTCGAGAGGGCTTTGTTAACTGCATAGTTTATCAGTTTACATCTTTTGACAAAGAAAAATAAATATTATAACGAACATATTAAAGAATGCGGGAATCCACCCTCATAACATCAGGGATCCGAGTCCATTCATGGACGTCCCACTATATTAACATTTTTCGACAGCTAAGCATAGTGTAACGTGAAACGGTCACCCATCTAAGGGTTATACAGGCTCGCCGTTGCTTAACTTGCCTGAAATAGAGGTAGACTCTACCGCATCACCAGAAAAGCTAGCTCCTCCTCCGCCGCTCAGGGAAGCTTCGACCCCAAGCTTAGCATGGGTTCTCTCTAAGTGTCTGGGGCCTCTTCAGTAACGGCAATCAATGCTGTCCACAGACACTAAGTCCGTACCTCGACATAAAGTCCTTCCTCCAGAGCTTCCTGAAGCAGGCCTTGAACCTCTTCAGTTACGGCAACTTCTGCCGTCCACAAACACCAAGTCTGTAAATGGACACAATTTCCTAGCTCTAGTCCTGAAGCAGGCCGCCAGACACCATGCAGAGTCACTACTCTGCCACCAACTTTGTAACGTGAAGCGGTCACCCTTCCAAGGGCTATACAGAAGTCATGTTCTAAATTTTGAATTTAACGTGAAGCGGTCACCCTTCCAAGGACTATACAGATGTCATGTTCTAAATTTTGAATTTACCGGGTGGGAGTAAATACAAAATTTAGATTGTCATGTTCTAAATTTTGTATTTACTCCCACCCGGTAAATTCAAAATTTAGAACATGACACAGACTCGCCGTTACTCAACTTGCCTGAAAAAGAGGGATCGAGACTCTATTGCATCACTAGAAAAGCTAGCTTACTAGCGAGGTAGTATAAGTTCCCTATATACTGTTCGGGTATTATCCGTGAAATCGCCTTCAACAGATATCCGGTATCGTTGGATCCGCGAAATTGGTTCAGTGAAATCACCTTTTAAAATTTAAACATATTTTTTTTTTAAAGTTGGTAATTCCAACTTTAAACTTGGCTTTACCAACTTTAAAGTTGGTAATTCCAACTTTAATCTTGGCTTTACTAACTTAAAAGTTGGCTTTTCCAACTTTAATCTTGCATGACTTTTCCATTTTTGTATGGCTTTATATCCAGATACATGTACTTTGTAGCTTAGTGGCGGATCTAGAGGGGAGGGGGGTTACGGGGGTTGCAACCCCACCTTTGGATTTGCTAAAAGAGAGAGAGAGTGAAAGAGAGGGAATGAAAGTGAGAGAGGAGAGTCACGAATATTTGTTGTTTTATTTTTCTATAAAAACGGTTTTGCTTTCGTCTAGTTTTACCACATATTTTTATCGTGTAGTCCTTTACCGGTTTTAAGTCAACGTCAAAAACATGATTTTTTGAATGATCAATTCATGGATTATTTACGTGAAACGAGATGGAGATTGACATCTGATTATAATTATAATACAAGTACATGTATTAATATGTAAGTGTCTCACTCTCCAAGTTTATCGAGTTTGAATATCCAAAATACCTGCAGTTGCCGTGGAAGTAAAAATGGTTCATTTATTGCTAACATTAATTGAAATTTTGAACAACTTTAGAAGAGTATTTACTGTTTTCAAATCCAATATCACACCGCTGGGGTCGAGGGGCCATCTTATGTTTCGGCTTGCAAAAGCCGTGTTTCTTGTATTGTTTGTTTTTATTTTTGGCTTTTTCTCCCTTTGAAGAACTACTCAATTCAAATAATCACAAAATAGGATGTGGTAGCGAGGTAGATTTTTACTTACAATAACATAAATTTTAAAATTTTCTCACACACTCTTTCTTAAACGGATCGATCTAGATAAAATACTGGGCTTTTAAAGGGCAATTTTCAAATCACTAAAGCTAGGTGGCCTGATTTACATTTTAGTATTTCACTTTTATTTCAATTTTACATATGTCTAATCAGTTTCTTTATTATAACAAGTTTTTTTTTTTTTTATCAATTGATAGTATCAGGCTCGTAGAACGCGGGGGGGGGGGGATTTTTTTTTCTTCTGATTGTAGTTTTTGCTACTATAGTAAACTATAGTAAATATATATATATATATATATATATATATATATATATATATATATATATATATATATATATATATATATATATATATATATATATATTGTAAAATGTTCTTTATATATATAATATAATATGAATATATAAAGTCTTTTTAAATTTTTATAACCCAGAGCTCGCGTAATCAGAAGTAATCGTGATTACATGTAGGAAAACTAAACTTATGTAATCGATAACTTTAACCAATGGAAGTAATCAGCTTGCAACTGATTACTTTTAAAATCCAAAGTAATTGTAATTTAATCGATTACTTTTGAAAGTAATTGACCCCAACCTTGATAAATCCAATTAAGTATTCTAAACATTCAAGTTCAATGACAATGACAATGAATTTATTCTCATAAACTGACATTAAGTACAGTGTAGAGACAGATTACAAATATAGTTAAACATATGTGCATGCATGAAACAGAAAAAGTACAAAGTCAAAAAAAAAAAACAAAAAACAATGACCTAACCAGGAGAGCCAACTCTCTCACAGATAATTTTTATAAATTTACACAGTTTTATTAATTTAACTGTATTTTTTTGTGTTAAAAAGTTGATCAAACTTATACACATTTGGATATAAATAGTAATACTTTGATATTAGTGATAATCTTAATTGATTTCAGAATAAATGGATCATTACAATTGAATAAGTAATGATATTCATCACCAATTTCATTTTTTGAACATAACTTACAAATTCTATTCTCTCTTGGTACATTTTGCCATCTCCCAACTTCAATCGGCAATTTATTATTACAAGTTCTAAACCTACATAATAATTTCCAGTACTTGCAAGGCAAAGATACTAAATACTTTTCTAAACAAAATGAAGTTTTATATATTCTGTAATTAAGACCTTTAGGTGAATTAAACATTTCACTGTACCATGACTGTTTAAACTGATCATACAGAGTGTTAAAAACGACTTTCTTCAGCCAAGATACATGCACTGGTTGGCAAGTTTGCCAGATATAAGAAAGCCCACATTCATTCAGTATAGATTTGATAAAGTTACACGTACCATGGATTATTGTAGTTCTTCAAAACAATTAACAGATTTGTTGATAATTTATCACATTGTAAAAGAGATAATTTACACCAAAAACTTATCATTCTTACCTTAATATTAATTGAAATAGGGTATCTACCTAATTCACCGTATACCATAAAATTTGGTGTAGATGATTTTACATGTAAAATATGTTTACAAAATTTTAAATGCAACTTTTCAACTAATGGTGACTGATTATAACCCCATACTTCACATCCATATAAAAATACAGGCTTTACAATTTTGTCAAACATATCTAATGTACATTCTACAGTAAGGTTGTGTTTTCTACATTTTCCTATAACACCATACATAGCTTTTGTTGCTTTTTG